CAGAAAAACAAGGCTGCATCTTTCTGTAACTGTTCCTTTTTAAATCTGATTCTTTGTTCACTTTTCCTTGTTGCATCTCTTTTTCCTTATACTTCTTACTTTTATTCTCAATAGTGTCCAACATAACAAAGAGCAACTCAGTACTGAACTGCAATTTGACACTACTCATATGGAGAGGCTAATAATAATCTGATGCAAGAAGGATATATGTTCTTTGGCCTCAGTTTAAGAAATATTTTGTGCAGGTTTAACATTTAAGTACTTTAACTTTTTTAACCACTGCGAGATTTCACTTACCTTCAATATAGCAGTTCACGTTAAGCACATACATAGGTACCTGAGTGACTGGAAAAACTCAGAAGAAACATTTTTCCTTCTCAGAATTTGCCAATTCATCCAAACTGAAATTCTTTTCAGTGAAATTCAAAAGGAAATCAATCAGGTCTCTGCCTTGTTTCAGAGGCATAACAAGTAATTTCTGTGTCCTTGGCAGCAGCAGCGACCAGGACAGCAATACTGTCAGCTGCCATTCTCATTTCCTCTTCTGAACCATTTTTGCACCCCATCTAAATTGGTGTCTAGGGGCTCACCCACCCCTAATTATGCCACCACCTTCTTTCTTGACAGCTCACCTGCCCACCTCCTGAGGAGTTACCTGGTGAACTGCTGGAGAGCCTAGGCTTCCGGCCCCACAGCAGGCTGCTGGGAAGCTCCAAAACTGCGAGTTCAAAGAATTCTAGCTTGCAGCTCGCCAGAAGCCCCAGTACTCAGAACAATCTTGCGATTGGAGATGTAGGGGCTTCTGCTACTTCCTGCTACAGAAAATTTCAATAGCTTTGTTTTTCATTCTGAGTGAGAAGGAAACCAAGTTTGGAAATGCTGACATCCTTTATACAACAGAATTATCTTTCCCTGCATAGTTCTAAGTAGTACTTTGCTGTACTGGATGGAGCCTTATGGTCTGACTCAAGTCCATGGAAATCCGTGAGTCTTTTCAATTATTAAAAGAGACTTTGGGTCAGGCCATTAATATAAACAGTCCATCTAATCCTAAAGTATAAGTTATCCAGTTTTGTTCATTTAAACACAATAAGAGTCATGTAACACTTATCTTGGTCACACAGGAGGGGATGTAATTTTATTAAGCATAACTTGGTTAATTTAAATCTTATGGGAATTACCTTGCCATTCTTTAACCAATCCACCTGGTGGAGAACTGCAGTCAGCCCTCTCCCATTCCAAATTTGGTCCCAGTCAATTCCTGGGATGAAGACTGAGAGAGAAAAGGATTCTTTGGTATGAGGATTGAGAGAGAAAAGGATCATCTTCTCATTATAACAAATGCTTTGAGTCTCAATCCCTGTTTCTTAGCTTTTTTAAGACTGCCTCCCCTAAATTCACTTCAAATTCCAAGTTATCAAGAAATTGGACCCCCTATGGCAGTGATTCTCAACCAGGATGCCTTGAGATCTTTTCAAGGGTGATACAGGATACCACACAGTATTAGCACTGTTAGCTGTGTAAACATGATTTGCAAAATAAACCCAGAGATTTTAAACAGGAATCCATAATGTCAAAAACATTCTGACCAGTTGTGGTCTGAGCTCTTTGCAACAGAAAGAAACACTCTATTATATTTCTACAGAATGAATGAAAACTAACAGCTGGCATTTTCTGAGGGGTGCCTTGAACTAAAAAAGCTTAGAGTCACAATGCTATGGAAGGAGTACCAGCACTAGACACTTGCTACCAACTATATTGCAGTAGTTTCAACTTAACTTCCTTACTTCCTGTTCTGCTATAGAGAAGGCAGAAGCTCCATCTACTTAGCCATCTGCATAATAACCTCAAGAGACCCTGACATCCTAGTTCCACTCTCTTCCCATAAGAAGAAGGCTCTGTCTGGCAGGATAGAAGAACATTTACCCCTAGAAATGCACTATGAGCCAGTGCCTGTTGACCTTCAGTCAACCCCCAGATTAAGTGATGTTCCCCTGCACCTTTCTAACCCAAGTGTAGGGGATCCATGACCCCCATTTTCCCTCTGTTGGCTAAGCAAAGTACACCACCCTTTCAGGGAGTGTAGTTCAGTGCTTGCAGACATTGTAATGTATCCCCAGTAACCAGGTTAGTATATCATGCACAGTCACTTGCTCCAGTTACTGATTATACAAGGCCCTTTCTTTTTTTCTTTTTTCTTTTTTTTTTTTTAACCAGGGAGAAGTGGGAAAGGAAGCACAGGGCAAACCAAAACCATATTAGTAGATAGTGACAGCAAAATTAGATAACACTAAAAGATATATGGAAGCAAATTTCTTACTTTATGAAAAACACATTTATATATTATCTTGCAGGCCTTCCAGAAGGCTAGACTTACAAAAACATATGCATATTATTTCAGTATATATTGTAGGTATCATAAGACATAATAAAGTGATAATATTTCCTTATGTTTAATTTATTGCCAGGAAATCAAATGAGTAATACAAATACCTATTTCAAGTGCCAGAATGGTCTGAGCCTGAGACTTCTAATAGCTCATCTTTTCATGAAAGCCCGTTATGACACTGCTAACAGAAAACAATTTGTGTGTCAAATCTTTTCTGCTTAGACACAATAATAAATGCTGTAATCTTTCAGTTATTGTTTTATGTGCCATTTATATTGCATTATGTTTCAAACAGTAAAACTGCACAAAAAGACAACTATTTAGCTCACAAAGTCAAGCAACTGAAAGTTAGGAAATGTCATATTTCTGTCTCTGCATGACCAAACTGTGCATTTATTAAGGTCAGTCCTGTGGAAAAAATGTTGTGAAGTTTATAAGCACATATTTTCATAATACATCCATAAAAAGAGGAAGAATCTAAGGTTGTACTGATAATGATAAATCTGCATTTACTAAGTTTTCTGCTAATCCTAGAAGAGGCATGTTTGGGTACCAACTCCCTCCATTCCCAAGAGGAAAGTGGGTGTGGGAGAGAAAAAACTCAGTTGTACTGAGCTGTTTCCCACTCTCCATGAGTTCCTTCAGCATACAACACCTAGCCCAATAATGGTTACTCCCATTGGAAAATCAGTTTTTCTCCTCCTACCAGCTTCTGTAGTTACTCATGTAGCTCAAGTGGCAATTCATGTCTTATACAGGGGAAGGAGAACCTAGCCTGGGTCTCTCCTTTACTGGCTACAGGTACTCTAACAGGTCTCAGTCATTCCCAGTACAGCATCAGCTGTTGCTGTTGTGGTGGCAATACAGATGAGCATCTGAATGTTTGTGCTTAATTATTATCTTGGTAGGATTCTACAAAATTCCCAAAGAATATACACACGAAAATGTGGTGGCTTAAATTTGTGTATCAACAAGGTAAACTGAATTTCTAGGAACACAGACAGCATCTGCCTGGCAAAAGTGTGCTTCTCCTGCCAAACACCAAAGGCCTGCTGCAAACCACAGAGGTGTGAACTCTACTTAAACAGTCCTAACAATATTTTATAAAGGAAATATTAAACCACTTAAATATATAGGTTGCTACCAGTTCACCTTATAACACACAAACATCTGCACATGTGCACACACTTCCCAGCTTTTGTTGTAAAACAGACAGCAATGCTTTACACCCTATAAATATGCACATACCCTATACATAACTTTTCCTTGCTTTTGTGAATTTTAGTTAAGCAATTTAAAATTATGTACTCCCTACTCCTCTATCAAAGGGCAAATACCTGAACATTTCTACAGCTCACACATACCACAGATGACACATACTACACTTCTGTGCCTTCAACTTGCCCTCCTTGCACACAACTCTTTACAAGACTTCCTCCTTTCAATAATTAATATACGTTGCAAATACTTGGAGTAATAAAATGTTGTATTGAAAAGGTTAGAAGGATGATGCTGGAAAGTTGCCCTAACCTCAAAAAGAAATATGGTTGTGCAATGCTATATGAGGTTTACTTTATCTTAGTTACATAGCTGCATTACATTACATCAGCTTTACATTACTGCTATTGTCAGCAATATATCTGTGTATGCCTGTGGCTAGAGAGAAGAGAGCATGATGCAGCTAATCTTTACATTCCTAAGCTTTTGTGGGTATGTAATCCTAACTGATTCATAATGACATTTTATATATATTAATTTTGTAGGGTTTTTGTAAATGCTAAATTAGAGGCAAGATGGTACCTTTGTGACTGGGTAAAAGAAGAGTTGCTGCATACAATCATGTGTGCGCCAGCAGCAGACAATTAAAATTTCTGCACTATAGAAGCTGAGATATAACTATTGACAGAGAAAGTTTTATACATGTCATAACATTTTATTCTTATTATTTAAATTATTTTATTGACCTGCATGACTGGTGCATACATTATTAGCTGTAGCAGACAGCTAACAATGACCGAAAAATCTACACAAAAAAGCTACATACTGTATCAGATCTACTTAATCTGCCCCATTCTACAAAAGACTGGATTGAATGAGACAAATTTAAAAAAAGAAAGTAATTTATGAGATTTCTATAAGAAAGTATATAAAGATAAAACCAAATAAAAAAGACTTTAAAATTCAAAGGCCATGGGAACAAGAATGGTGAAATTTCATAAACCTTAACAAACTATCCCTAAAAAAATTCCAAAATTTTTGCCCAACTTTAAGCCCATTTTAGAATTCTCCCCTAAAATGTTGTTACTATAGCATTTAATATAAAGGTCAACTTGTAAGAAGATGCTTTAAAAATGTCCAAGAATCCATTTAATCCTACCTTTCTATAAAACCTTATTTTGTTTCCTTACCTAAAGATGATGTGACCTCTTTAGTCATGACTTTGCTGAAAGTGTTCCAGTTGTATGGGTAAACTTTCCTAAAGTAGGCAAGGAAATGAGCATTCCTTGTATATAGCTTGAGACCTTGTTTTTGTCAGGGGAATTCATAACATTTAATTGGGATAGGGCCCATATTGATTCAACATTACATTTTGAAAGATTTACATACTTACCAGATCCTTTTCTGCCTTTTTAGTAGATAAAGCATCAACTTTGGACTCAAGCTCTGTTTGAATTTGGTCTCGTCTTTTTAAAACACCCTTAATATTAAAACAGTAAGAAAGGGAAATAACATTAATGTGTAATAATTTGCTTATGAAAACATCAAGAGCATTTAAGAAGTTAAAGAATTTGTACCTTATGGTTTGAACAGACCTCTCATATTTAAAGATTTTAGCCTGATGCGATTACTTTCTTTATAAATTACTTTAAAAGTATGTACTACAGATTTATTTAAATTACCCTAATTTTTTTTTTCTTGAAAGGTCTGGCAGGGGTCTTACCAGAACTGACACCAATATCACAAGACTATGCTAAGTATGTTACAGAGCATCAACCTATGGAATATTCATAGTATTTTTAACTCCTTAAAATATGTAATCATGATTTAAAGAGAGAAAATTCCTAGCAATAAAGGAAATAACCCAGTAATAACTTCATTTGAATAAATATAGTATCACTCAAGTAAAACAGTATCTTGGATGCTATATAAAATATGTGCAGCCTTAAAGCTTTATTATTAATTTGTACGTGCCAAAGTTAGTTTATGACAAAGGCAAGGGATATTTGGTGCAAGAGGAGTAGCAGTAATATCCATTATCTGAAAATAATCAGATATACAAGCCCAATTCTTACATTAAATCCAACTCATCAGCTACTGGATTCTTAGAAATGAAAAAAGGGAGTGAGCTTTGTCTGTTACACTATAAATATTGTGACGTGCATTATATTCCCAACTCTGCTGCTATTTTGCTAAGTGACCTAGTCTTAGTCTGTGACTAAGACGTTGCTTACCCTACAGAAGTACTGCAAGACACTGGTTTTTTTAGGACTACTCAGAAACAGAAAAGTATGTTAGTACAAATTTCAGAACTTCTTGCTAGTGATAATTACTTACATTATCCTTGTTGCAACAGGTTTTACTAGTTAATTAGAATATGGCTTGAGATTTTTAATATTTGCTTTTAGTGTAGGACACGTTGAGACAATGTACGGCATAACAAGTCCCATTTCTGGTTTTCTTTAAGTAAACCAAGTGCCAAAAGATTAATTTTTTTTCATGTTGAAAAGGAAATCCCTAACACCCTGGCTAGAAACCATCACAAAACATTTATATGAGCTAGTCTTTAAAAAAGCTAACATGGTATATTTACAGAATAGTTGGTGAACTTATTTTTGATCAGTTATGAGTAATACAACAATAATTCTTAACAAACTTACTATTCAGTATCTCTTGTTAAATGTTCTCCTATTTGTTTATAAATATAAAATGTGGTTATAATAAAAGAAGAAAAGCAAATAGTTCTGGAATAATATTCTTTTCATCACTGAATTCTTTTTGTCTTTTACCCCCTCTTTTTCTGTATTTAAACATACCATAGACACTGTTAAAGATGATTATTTGCTAATCCTTATTACAAATATGTATTTTAGGTATAAAGTAAAACTAATAATTACAATGCTAATATGCAAGATCTTTGGGTTAGGTCTGGCTTTTTAATAACGAACACAAGAACCATTCATTATTTTGTGCTTTTAAAATATGAAATCAATAAAAACATAAGTTAAATATATGAATATAGTGTTATGATTTTGTAATTACTCTGGTGGTAACTCTTAGAAGTAACAAGTCCCTCAAAGAGCAGTACTCTGACCCGAAACAAATTTCTAATTCTTTCTACATAGGACAAATTTAGAGGAGATGGCTCTACTATAGCTGTCTCCACTCAGTCAAACAGGAGGCGTCCAACCAAGATGCAAAGATTTTTGCTCTGAAACTTCCTGAGGATGCTCCTGTATTTGTTTTCTCAGTTCAGAATTTCCAAAGCTAAAAAATACAAGGATTAAGCTCCCTCCTTGGCTAAGACTTTACTTAAGTGTACACTCTTACAGCCTTTACATATTGGTGTTGCCATGCCTCAGAAAACTATTTTTTCCAAGGTGTGGCTGATACATGCACATTTAGTCTGTTTCTCGCTGTCCTGTTCAGAGTGCAAAATATAGGAAAGGGGAGAGGGGGCAGAGACAAAATAAAGTGAATGAACAGCAAGGTCCTGGAATGGAATAAGGAGCCAAATGATGAACTGCTCTCTCCTCCTAAGGCATCACAACAGTCTAATGTTGCATGGGAAGGGTTGCACCAAGCTAATGAAAGGTAAATCAACTAAAGAAGAGTCTGAAAACAATTGTAATTCAAGAAGTGTGTGTGAAGAGCCTCAGTTATTCTGTTTGTCCACAGAAGCCTCCTCCTCTTTAGGCAGGACCAAGAAGGCCAGCAGAGATGAGACAAACTGAAGAGGACAACATATCTAAATTGAGGTTAAATCTGGGGCAGGTTACTGGAAACAGCTTTTTCATTTTGCAAAGTAAGACTAAAGATGGAGGATTGTTACCTACAATCTTACCAGCCTTTCAAATACAATAAAAGCTACCTGACAGGCCAAAGAGAGTACAAGACCTAGGGGCTTGAAGACATATGGGATAAGGGACTTTAGTATTGTCCTAGGGTAAAGACCGGTTTATTCACTTCGTAGTAGTAACTGGTATGCAGGCTTGTGTTCTGAATTTACAGGCCAGTCAGTTGGTCTTCTGTGACCTCAGTGTAGAGTCTGAACATGTAAGGAAGTCATTTCTTCTGTCCCAGATGACTCTGAATTTCCCTCTGTGTCCAAGCTTTGAGATCCCTACACGGGCCACTAAATATGTCCAGATGGTAGTTGTCATGGAAAGTTCAGGAGGCAGTGACCATCAGCGGGGGACTTCCTGTGAGGCGTGGGGAATGGAGGTCCCCAGTTGAGGGAGCTGACTGTGACTGAGGAGAGGCTGACCCCAAGAGACTTTCACAGGAATTTTTTTTAAGGGCTAAGTGGTAGTCCGAATGTTGGATAAGGATTTTATTAGTTTTGTTTTACCATACTCTGTTGTAAAATCATTTTATTGCTTTTTTTCTTCGTTATGCCATTTGTTCTTGTAATAAAATCTTTTGTTTTTATGATACTTTTCCAATGTGCCTGTGGTAAATTGTGATTTCTGGCATACCCATTCAGCAGATTAGGGAACCAACAGCCTTACATAAACCCAGGGTCCATCTTTGAGAGCACCCCAACACCTCAAGGTTTTGTCACAGTGGTTTGTACTAAATGCAAATTAGCAGATCATTGACTGAATTATCCAACTGATCATCACACAGCATAATGCCATGTTGACAGTTCACTCTACTAGGACCATCCTGATTACAATTACAGGTTTATGTTCTCTGCAATGTAATGTTTTCTCAGGAGATGACTCTTCCAAAAGGGAGCTTTATCAGAGTCTCCTGGATATACAAAATGTTATTAATTCTAATTAAGGCCTGGAGAAAACCTTGTCCTATACACTTCTTTACTACCAAGCAGACAGCTTTTAAGTTTCTCCAACTGATGTCCCTGAAATGATTCATGCTCAATCATGTTTGCCTATTGAGCAAGAGAGGGATTTTCCTGGGAGATAAAGGTTTTCCAAGGTCTCTCACCAATGGGAGAACCTATAAAAACAAACAAAACCCCCCTATGGTAAGGTCCTTAAATGGAACTGAGTGCATGGTGCCATGGCAAAACACTGTTTAAGTGGGACATACGTGGCAAAACTGGAAGTTGATTGCCATTCTGGAAAATGGCTGTCAGGGTTCAAAAATATCTCTTTGAAAGGAAAAACATTGTCCCCATTTCTGTATCAGTCACCATTTGGGGAGGAAAAAGATATGAACTGGTGTTTCTTGAACCCTTTTGCAGTATAGGACAACTGTTGTCTACTAGTATGTAGAGCTTGAATAAGATGAGATAATTGTCTAGACAGAAAAGGATGGACAACTTTTAATATTGCTGTTATAAGAAATGGAAGGAGGAAAACTGAAGGTGAATCATCAGAGCAAATGAAAATCACTGATTTGAATTGGACACTTCTTGCCTGATTAACAAGGAAGAAACAACAAAACCCAATGTCATGCTAGCAGGCAGTGACCCTAGGGGAAATCACTACTGACTTTCTTTTAAGGGTGTATGAATGGGATAGCTTGGGTACAGAAGCAGTGCATTAACTTGGTGTTCTATGTGAGCTAAACAGGAAAAAAAAAAAATACAATTGATACAAAAGCACCTATAAACAAAGCAAATGTTCTCTGCAAAGGTCACTGCATACATCAGAATGTATAAGTCTTATGTGGTCTTACCATTAATATGTCACTGTAGAGAACATATTCGTGTATAACAGGCAACAAGTTTTCTGAAAGTCCTGTCATCCGTTTCTCAGTAGCTTTGCAGCACTTGTCAATGCAGTTGGCAACACCTTTTAAGGAGTCCACTAGATCTTCTTCTGATGCAGACCAGAGCGTGTGGATTGGGCCATATTCTTTCATTTCATGAAAATAATCTTAATATGAAGATAAGAGTATATTAGCGCTCAAATTAGTAAGAGTTAAGTGATATTAAGTGCACTTATAGATGTATTGTATAAAAAGCATACAAGTTGTAACTAGGGTTTTGAAATATGCTCAATGATTCTATAAAAGAAAGAGATGTTTCATAACACCTCTTTGTTTTTACTCATTAAGCCATAATAATTAAAACGTTGCTAAAAATCTATTAGAAAAAATAATAATTTTGAAAGAGGAAAAATACTGCATATAGATGTCACAACCCAAAGTTGTGTTTTTTTGTTTTTGTGTGCTTCGGCACACAATTATGTTCCTGCCAAATTGCAGCTTTTTTGCACGGTAGAGTTTTCTGCTGCAATAGGAGAACCCGCGTGCAAAAGAGTATTTCCCGCCGTTTGTAGCCGCCTTTGCATGGTGCATTTCTTTTGCATCATAGTGATGCACGGTGCAAAGGAGTTCCTGCCATTTGTATTTAGATTCGTGCCACATTATTGGCCGGTTCTAAATGTAGGCATACGTGGCGGCTAGCTATTGGCTTGCTAGCCGTACAAAAGGCTTGGGTAGTTTCCGCCCAAGTCAGAGAGAAAGGAAACCTGGAGAGATACAGAACTCGCCAGGAGAGGAGACTTCGCACTGTGTGAAGATCTCCAAGCGATGTGGACCCTTGCGGACCCAACGCACCTTTCTTAAGCAGGCGACGGAGGTCTGTTTAGCTTCTAGCCTCTCCCCGTCACCGAGCGCAATCCTAGACGTATCCCTATCCTATATACCCAATTTTCGAACCCACGGAGTCTTAACAGCTCCGGGGGACCTGGGAACCGAACAGAACCCACGGAGATTCAGCCACTCCATGAGGAAAGAATTGCCGAACCCGCGGAGCCTAAACCACTCCGGGGTCAAAGAACCGAGTTTGTCAGAGTCCTCCAATGAGGATTCAAGCGGAGCTGCGCCTGGAAAGCTGTCCAGCCTACACCGCGACCACCTTGGGTGTAAGTAAATAATCTTTTCAATCAACCATTACACCTCCGTAACTGATTCTAGCTCGCGCGTGCCTTACCGCCCCGCGGTTTTCTTCGGCCCCGCGTGCCCGGGCTGCTGGCCACAGTCCGCGTGCACAAAGACGGGCCCGGCTCGCACATGGCGAGGATGGGATCGGGAGCCGGCCCACCCCATAGACACAACAGGTTTACCAGCAGTACTTAAGCAATGTTCTGGAGATGTTACCAATTCTAGTAGTATTCCTCAATTTAAATATATAGATAGTATCTCAAAAACAATTTCTACTTTTATAATCCAAGACCAGCATATAAATAGCTAATGTATTAACTCAGAGAATAGGGTCCAGAACCTACTCAGAAAACCATGTCATTTTAGTAATATAAAGTTTTGGTAAAGCAAATATTTGGTGCAGTACAAGCAAGTGGAGTATGGAGGCGAAGACATAGCCAAGAGCTTGTGGATCTTTACAAAGACCTGATGTTTTGAGCAAGATAAAAGCATGGAGAATAAAATGGGCAGAGCATATTGCAAGAATTGATGAGAAAAGGCATGTGAGGGGTATAAGACCTCAAGGTAAACCAAAGCAAAGATGGAAAGACAACATAAAAACTGATCAGGAACAGAGGGGCGAAGATGCAATGAGGTAAAAGGAGATTGCACAAGACAGGAGAAAAGCTCCTTGTGGCCTGTGAAACCAGAGAGAGAGAGAAAATAACTCAATGTAAGGAAGGTAAAATTTGGCTTTACAGTATATGTTGACAATATTAGTGTTCAAGTGTTAAAACTGCTACTTAACATCGGATAAGGCCCCCCATGACTCTAACACTACCTTGTAATTAGTCTATTCCACCAGGTTTCACTGCCCCTCCAGTTTCAGTGTCCGTTGCAATTTAGTTGCAGCAGAACATATACCAAGGAAACATCCTACAAACAGTCATAAAACAGCTGTGTAGGATGGGAAAAGTAATGCTTATTTTAAGCTTAGCTGATCAAAAAAGCCTCTGGAAACTTTAAGGTACCTACAGGGGGCGTAGGACTAGCAGAAAGTATCACTGCTGGATAACTAACAATGGTTTACTACTGTGACAGCAGCTTTGCAGAGCATGAGTGGTCTGCAATCACTGTTTGGAAAATCTGGAAAGAAAATACATCTGGCAGTACATAAGAGCACATCAAACTCCATGAAGTTCTCTCACAGGTATTTTGGCACTAGTGCTTTAATCGTATACCCAAGAACTTCTCCTTACTATATGCCAACTACTTCCACTGGAGTGAACTATTAAGGTAAAAAAAGGAATCCTTTTGATGAACATTTATTTAATTTATGCCAACAAACCCCCACCTAATCAGAACATGCTGAGATCTGGAGCGACAGAATACTGTAAACTGAAGCAGACAAAGCCTTAGTTATTATTGAACACAGTGCAGCTCTTCAAAGTAGTTTTTACATTTGAGAAAAATCCCTAAAGCACTGACCAGTGGGATTTTGAAACACAAGGCCAGTGTGAGATCAAATTCAAGTTCAGAAAGTTTATAATGTAAATCTCCATGAAGGTATGCAAACTGCTGTTCCTTTCAGAACAAATAAGAGTTTAAGATTATGAGAAAAGTAACCTTCTTATCAAGGGAAATTCTAACAAGCAGACTGTTCCAAGAACCCATGACAAAGGTTATGGCCAACAGGAAAGATAACATTTTAAAAAATTCTGTTTAGTGTGGCAGAATACAGGAAATCGAATCAAACAAAAGATACAAAAGAATAGACATTGTGGGATTCAGACTATCTGAGATTCAGACAATACTGAATCTGAATTTAGTATCTGAATCAGAATACCAGTAGGAAACAAATGTTTATATTTCAATTTGCATACAAACCTAATGTCCATACAAGTTTTTTTCCCAATTAGCAGTGAAAAAACAGCCAGACTTCTACATTCTCTTAAGTGTTGGCTTCACACTGGAGAAATTAAATGAAAGGTTAACTCCCCCACCCCATTAGTGCCTCAGTCATACTGATTTTGAAAGCAAAGTCTGGGGGAACCCAATATTGAGCAAAAAACAGTGATGTTAGCGACAAGTTATTTTCCTTTTCCTTTCCTGAAAGATGAGCATTGCACTTCTTGCATCTATCCTGCCACCTTCAAGCCAATGAAGGTTACGAGATGTGAATCTTTGCATGCCTGCATGTTGATCTCTCTCAGGAGGCCACAAGGATGAACAATTACAAGAAAACAGAATAAAAAAATACATGTTCTTGTCCTGTTTTTTCTCTCTCTTGCTAGAAGCCAATGGTTGGTTTAATGAAACTAAATTTCTTTTTCACAGAAAATCATTAGTAATTAGTCAAGTACATTAAAAAAAAACAAGATTCATTATTCATACTTACCCCTTTCTTCCTTGTAAATTCTGTGGGATATTTTGTCCAGCAAATTTATTTTCTGAGTAAATATTTCCATGTAGTCATTCATTTCCATAAATATTTCAGGACGATTTTTAACTCCTCCTCTTACTGAGGAGGCTACAGCTCTTACAGTTTGTCCCATTCTGCTAAACAAACCAGGACCCTGCTTCTTGTGAGATGAGAGTTCCTAAAAATGTAACATGCAATTTTGAAGTTCTCTTCTCTCTTCTATTTAAAAGCAAATTAAAAAAAAATATATACAGGCTTTCATAAAATAGATTATTTTAAATATCTAAATGCTAGATTTTATAGTAATATTTTGAGCTATGTAGCATTTATAGACATTTTAACATGGACACAGTTGGTATATATTTACTTATATTTACTAGAGGCTGCATAGACAAGTGTAACCATTCTGTGCCACAGGTTGGCAACACTTTCCTGAAGCCAGTAATATGATGGAGGGTAGGAGAAAAAGACAAGATGGCAGAAAACCTCTCTCCTTTTGATCTTTAGGGCAAGTCAGTCAGCAGGCAATACAGCCCGAGGGGTTGGGCGGGGGGGTAATATGTTCAGGGAGGAGCCATTCAGAGGGGAAATTTATGTTCTTATGGTGGAAGTAAACTGCATTTTTCTTCTTCCTGTCCCCTCCACTTCTATAAATTGCTAGTGTAGATTTTGATGCATTAGAGATCAACTTTTTGAACACAAAATCCTTGTTTTATTTTCTAGCTCATACATTTTGTAAAGGTACAGTGGGAAAATAAATGGAGAGTCATTGGCTGCATTCTCAATTATAATTTTTTTTTAAATAAGAGCAAAAGGAGAACAATGTAAAAATGTTTAAAATACTATGTTATATAATCCTGGACACTTACATGGATAACAGGAACATCCAGAGTTAGTATAGTAAGAATAACAAAAAAGACATAAAAGACATGTCATGTTTCAGCACATAAAGCAAGCTAAAGCATAGTAGAATGGAGTCTTCTTTATTGTCAAGCAATTTCTTAATTGACCACTGTAGCATATTAAGATCTTTTACTAATGGCAGATTTTGTATTATACCTAGCCACCATTAGACAGAAGACACTGAAACTGGCAAATATTCACTCATTTGTTCTAGTACTATAATCAATAATTTCCAAATTATGCAGTTAGAAAATGAGATTTTACCCAAGCTTGTGCAGTAAGAAAAATTTTGAAATCTTCATTAAAAGTTAAAGTTGGATGATCAGCAATTCTGCTTAAAAATTTCTGCAGTGCTCTTCTTCGAGTCTCAATGAACTCTTCACTAAATCTCTCCACCATTCCTTTCATTATAAATTTTTCAGGCAATGGCTAAGGAAAAAAGAAAAAAAAATAATATTGCACAACTTTACATATTAGGTATATTACAATAGTTCTCCTAGCTATAACACTGGAGAGACAGCTTTTAAAATTTACTATGTAAAAATCTCAACCCTTAGAAAATTAATGCAGTCAGCAATGTTATAATCTTGATTTGCCAGCAGATAGCACATACAGATAAAGCTACAACTAGAAAAAAAGTATGGGGAAGAGACAGCCTAATTTGTCAATGAATTATGTGCCTCTACAAAAAGAATAATCAAACTGTTAGCCACTCAGTGTTTGTTAGACTCTAGAACCCTGATAGTCTCTCCTTCAGCTCTGGACAAATAAATAGAAGCATCTTAAATAAGTATGATAATGCAAAAAATATAGCAAACCAACAGGAATAATCAATGTTGGATGCGCTTCTTCAAGTCTACTCTTCAACCAAAGGAAATCTTGGTATCGTCTTCGAACTTCATATTCACTTGAGTCAAATTCACTACGAGATGTCTGAAAACCATAACAAAAAAATTAAGATAGAAAAGCTAAGAGTAATTAAAAATTGAAAAATTCTAATAGCAATTTAATACTATAAGCGGTGATACAAATAAAACATTTTAAAGAATAGTGCACTTGTATTGTGAAAAGGTAAGTATAAAACGGTGCAAATGGAGTGACTTATAATGTTTCAATTACCACCTTTATGCAAGATTTCCTTTCCAATAACCAAAGTGCTTTCGAATTACGTTATTCTCTTTCAAGCGGTTATGAAGCTGAGTATAAGAAAACACTATCTTTTAGCATTTTGAGGGTATGGACAAATGTACTTTTTAACTGCTTTAAAAGTATAAAAGAGCTGCCCCTCAGGAGCACACAACAGGTATTACATCTGCATGATCCTGAAGTGATACAATTTAGCTTAACTACACTAACTTTGACTTGAATGACTCAAGACTAAAGTTTGAGTTGTTTTGCTACACTTCTGTTACTAAAGAATCATGCAAACAACAGTTACAACATAAAATCTTATATCAGTATCATTTTATAGGCATGCAATTGCTACATTTGTCTATACCCCAAATAAACTGGACTAGCTGAAGCATGCCTGTAAGACCTGCTGATATCACAGAATCATAGAAAATTTGGGTAGGAAGGTCATTTAATCAACCCCCCTGCTCAAAGCAGGACCATCCCCTGAGCAGGGGGTTAGACTAGATGACTTCCTGAGGTCTCTTCCAACCCAAATATCAGTAATGTACTCACATGCCCCCCTCCTATTTTTTCTTTTTTGAAGTTTGAATCATAATTTCTGAATGCTTTGGAATTGGCAGAATCACATATTTGTACTTCAAATCAATGTCGCTAAGAAAAAATAGAAGAAAAGATGCAGGACACAATCCCTCAACCATCCTATCTTCCCATTAAAAAACTCTACCCCTATTGTATGAATATGCATAAAATATGAATGATGTGTAACAACAGAACAAACCCTCACATCCTGTCAATGTTTTAAGAACTGTTAATATCCAATCTAAACATATCTTTTTTAAGAATGAACAATTTCTATTTGATAATGTTTTAAATGAACCTTCAAAAAAGAAGCTAGAGTACAGTACAGGAATTTAAGATAGCAATTCTCAAAGTGCAGTCTGAAGAGTGAATGCTGATAATCCTCAAGGATCTGGCTGGTCAAATAATTCTGGCTTTTCTCCTTATTTCCAAGTAAAAAATTGCATTCAGAGATAGCTCAAATACATTAAATGGTTTCTTAATATTACCTTTTCATTTGAAAATTGCTGTATTTGCCACAAAAATGATATATAACTATGAAAGAGGAGGAAACTTTTCCCTATGATAGCAAATGATCCAATAATAGGCAGTGGTGGATTAAAATTTACTGGGGCCCTGGGCAAACAGAAAAATGGAGGCCCCCTACCAGGTGAAGACAGGTTCCCTCTGTGCCTGCCAGGGGGCTGTGGCTGAGCCCGCCCAGCCTCCTCAGTGTGTCCAGGGTGAGCCAGGTAGCAGAAGTGCTGCTGGGGTGAAGGCAGCCCCAATGCTAGCCCAGCCCCTCCACCCGGCAGATGTCACACAGCCAGGGCCATGGTCCCCCAGTGCCATGGGATGGGCTGGGGCTGGGGCCAGCTTGAGGGGGGAGGGGGTCATGGGCTCTGGCCCTGGGTTCCCACCTGTCCTTCTGCCAGCCCAGGTGGGGTGAGATGGGGCTGTCTTGTCCCAGCGGTGCTGGTGGCTATCCACATACGGCAGAGAGTGGGACTACCCATGGGGCCTTCTGGCAACAGATGGCCCCAGGAAGCCACTGCCACCCTCAGAGAGCCTCGAGTCCACCCCTAGCCCCTGGCCCTGGCCCAGCTGGAGAGGAGGCAGTGCACACTGCTCACCCCAAATCCCAGCAGCCAGGATGCCCGCTTGGGCCATGCTGCCCCTGGCACTGCAGGGGGCCCTGATTGGCAGGGGCCCCTGGGCCTGTGCATTAATCCACCCCTGATAATAGGAAAACAGAAATGAAAGGCTGGGGG